ATCTTTTCCTAAGAAGTAGTTTTCCTTTCTGTTAAAGAACTGTGTCAGTTTTTTTTTTTAGATCAAGAGCAAAGCAGAGTTTAGCAAAATGCAGTGTTTCTCAAAAATCCAGACAAAGAAAATTATATATGCAGTTTAAAAATGTGAATTCTTAACAACAGTAAAAGGGAGGAAAAAAACTGATKGGCACAATGTAAATGTTAGTGTATAAAAATGTTTGGCATTGTGGGGTAAGGATATTTAGGACATGATGATTTAAGGCACTCTTTCTTTAGGTTGCAGTAGCATTTCCAGTACCTCATGACACTGCCCTCCTTATATACCATTACTTTTTTTTGTGATCTTTCACAAGGCTGTGACTGATGAGAGAAGAGTACTGATCCATGCTTTGCTAGTTGATGCTTTCCTGAAATCTTTAAGGTAATTGCAGTAGTCAGAGTGCAAAATTTTATTCWGTGCTTCCTAATTATTCTATATCCAGGTCTGTTAGCACAATTCATGCACATACACCAGTGAGTTTAGTAATTTTCTTTTTATAGCTGCAATATATTATTCTGAATATAGGTGAACTGACTCAAATGGGTTATTCCTGCTTCACATCCTTGCAAGTTATCACATTTTAACTCCAGCAARCGACTAAGCACCACACACTCACTCACTCACACTCCCCTAGTGGGAATGGGGAGAGAACTGGAAAGGTAAAAGGAAGAAAACTCATGGGCAGAGATAAAGACATTTTAATAGGGAAAGCAAAAGCTGTGCACGCAAGCAATGCAAAACAAGGAAGTAATTCACTGCTTCCCGTGGGCAGGCAGGTGTTCAGACATTTTCAGCAACGCAGGGCCCCATCAACACCTAACAGTGATTTGAGAAGTCAAACTGTGTAACTATGAATTTCCCCTGACCCTTCTCTTTCCCCAGCTTTYTATGCTGAACATGATGCCATATGATGTGGAATGGCCTTTTGTCAGTTGGGATCAGCTGTCCTGGCTGCGTCCTCTCCCAACACCCTATGCACCCCCAGTCCCCTCTCATTGGTGGGATAAGAAGCAGAAAAGGCCTTGATGCTGTGCGAGCACTGCCCAGCAAAAATGAAAACATCCTTATTTTATCAACACTGTTTTGGTCACATATCTGAAACCTATCCCACACCAGCTACTGYGAATAAAATCAACTCCATCCCAGCCAAAAAGAGCACACCAGTAAGCATCAATACTACACAATCCCTTCTTGCATAAACTAAGCCTTACCTAAAGCCCACCTAACCTGCAACTAAAGACTAGGGTTTATTTTCATCCTTGCTAGTGCTACTGGAAAAGTGTTCTGGAAACTCRTTCTTTTGGCACTTATAAATCCTATTTCCAGTTTGGGTGAGGTAATTGACAGTTCCTGTATCAACACAGTCTTTATCACTAAAGTAGATCTCCTGAACTTATTTCTTCCTTGTGCTTTTAGAGAAAAATCATAGACTTCGACAATTAATAGGGGTAATAGGGGTATTTATGTTATTTAAATAACAACACTTTAATTTCCTGGGGATAATTTTCCCATTTACACTATTTTAATCAGCTCAGGTAATCTAATTACCTTTTCCTATACAAGTTCTTGTTTTAATTAACCTTTCCTGAATATGTGGAAGTAWATACAGTATTTTAGAAGAAATAGGTGTTTTGAATGTTGTTTATATTGGGAAAGATACTTCTGTACTTCTGCTGGAAATACCTTAGTACCTCAGGCCTAAGAAACAGATTTGTCCTATTGAAAGTCAATGCTTGTTGCCAGTTCAGATCATAATTTTTGGTAGAGTTTATCAGCATAAGTCAGCATTTAAAGAAGCAGAGCTGATCTTCATTGACATATCTGTCTTTCATTCCTGTTCCTGTGTAGCCTTTCCCTTTGGCCAGCACTGTCTATGTTACTATATAGCAAAGCAGACTGAGACATTTATTCCTTTTGGCTGTTTTTTCCATCTTACAATTCCTGCACTAACCTCCATTTTTTCAGCTTAACTAATCCCWTCGCACTTGGCACCATACAAATATTTCACTGACATCATGGCAGATAACCACCAGTGCATTTTGTCCACAAAACTTGCTACCACAGCGTGTGCTTAATACATAAGTAAGATACCTTTGGTATGCATGTCCAAATTCAAGTGGCAAGACACCATTTAAAGTGAGTTTTGTTCACTTGGGGTGAAATGAACAAGGCATAGAAAGCTGTTCAGCTACTCAGTGGTCCTGTGCTGGCAAGCATGACTGGTTAATGAGAAATGAGCCATGTGTGAAGTGGACCCTACATCAAATGAATAGGATGTCTCAAAGAAAAAGAAGAGGAAGCAAAGTCAAGGTGGTATGTAAAGAAAATGAGAGGAAGACTCAAAAAAAAATCAAAAACCAAAACGAAACCAGAAAAAACAACCAAACAGCAACAACAAAGTATGGGGAAATGTAGCAATGGCAGAAGGAAGGGGAAGAAAAGAGAATGCATAAAGCCTAACATTTGGTCCACTATGACATTTCCATCACCATCCCAAAGCAATACACTGAAATGATTACTTTCCCMCCTCAATCAGGGCTGCACAGAGATGAAAATATTGTCGTGTGTCAGGACTTGTCCTTTTAACAGGTGTCATGCTCGAAGTACAGATTCAATAAAATCTATCACAACACCAGCTACAAATAAGCTCTCCCATTTCCAGTATTAATAAAATTTGTGGGTCCGATTTATTTTTAAAATATTCTTATATAATTTTRAAGGCACCCCATGTAGCACATAATGGGGCACTGCAAATTGGTTATATAATAAGTAAGTAGAAGAAAGAACAATATAAACAGTGGTTTGCAGCCTTGACCCTATGGTGTTTCCTGCCACAATGAAAGTAAAAACACATGTTCCTTGACAACCATCAAGCACTTTGTCACYGCTGTTGGACATTCCGCTGCCTTAGGGCTTGTCTACATGCAAAGCTACATTGGTTTGGCTGGGTTTAATTTGCTGCAAAGGACTGTGTGAATTCTTATTTTGACCTAAATCAAGACTTGCTTCCGTTTAGTTCAACAAATTAAAGGTCAGATAAAAGCCAAGTAACTCTGTTGATTAGGACAATCACGGTTTTAATCAATTGCTTACAATTTTAGTGCTGCTTGTGCCGGCAAAAGCTGACTTTCTAGTAGCTTATCTTGATGAAGTTTCTGATTCCTCAGACTGTCTTAATTGATTTAAATTGTGCCTGAATGGTCCTTAGGATCTAGTGCCACATGGTTAATGTAACCAAATCTTTCCTGCTGCTGAATGAAGACTATATATCTAAAATAATAATTTCAGTGGGAAAGTGCTGGCTACTCTGAAATTTATCTTTCTTTTCCACTACCACACCCAAACACAAGCACTTCTCAGCATGCYGATGATGGCAGAAGCAGGGCACAGGGCACTCAAAACTAAAGAGCTGCATCAAACACACACTGAGAGACACTTGGGGTTTCCTTAATTCAAAGCCTGCAAAAGCAATTTTGCCTTAGTCTTGCTGGGTGAAGTGCTTGGTAAGAGTATTTAACACCGGTTCCCAAATGCAGGGAAACCTACATGCTTAGGGAAATGTAATGGAAATGAAGACTTCAACAGATGGAAAACTAGCCAGCATTATTCCAAAGAAAATTGTCCACAGAAGTAGATATACCAGTACAGTAATAGTAGGACAATTACAACACTGTAATAAYATCAGTTCATTTCCTGAGTCTTGCTGCAGAGAAGCAGAATTTGTCTTAGTTTTAGAAAGGCTTGTCAGCATCCTCATTTCCAAGGAAATACTCTAAATACTTCCTCTTCAGAGGAAAAGCTCATAGCAGAAGATTAATTTTGAGATTATCCACGATTAATTTTAGGCCAAGGCAACTCAGGCAAAGGTAAGGTAAMTTTCAAGTAATTGCTCCAACACTGTCACAAGCTATCTGTCACAGAAAACAAATGATTTGTTGAAAAGGAAGGCTAGGTCACATCACCATCTGAAGCCTATGCTACACCAAGAGCAACACAACCACAGTGCCAGCACAATCAGATTGGTATTTAGACCGACTGGGTGCTGCTATGGATTAATTAACAATATATGCCACACACCAAACGTGCAGCAAATCTTGCTTCCAAAGAATGCTAAGATTTGTGGGGGGTTTTCAYGCCATTAGAGGAAGCTTAGCTTCTATTTCAGAACACAATCAAGAAACACCAAAGGATTAAAGTTTTATGAGGGCATAGTCATCATTTTATCTTTCAAACATAGCCTGTCTTTGTGTTCATGGTTAACAATATTAGCTACAGAAAACCTGAAAATCACATATATTTTGGGGCTTATTAACCTCTGCTAGCTTTTTCACTCTGATGAACTCTGTAACACAGTTTATTTCAATCAGGAAGCTGCACAGGAAAGAGCTGTGCTCTTCCCAGCAGCAGCTTTATAGTTCTTTGAACCTCTTCCCTCACTATCCTCCTTAAGCAAGAATTTGCTGCATGCAACTGCACGGAAACCAGTCGGTTACGACGAGACACGGATCCCGACAGCGTGAGGCCTTCCCACGCGTGTCCTTAGATGTCACCTCGGACTGCCGCACGCTCTCTGTCCTGCCCTCACCACGGGGGCCACTAAACGCACTTTGCCCCCGATTTCACATGCAGCCAAGCGCCACGCGGACACACATCCGCCGCCGGAGCCTCTCGACACCTGCGGTAACAGGAAAGCGGGCCGSACTATCGGCCTCTTTGTGTCCTCGCGTCCCAAGGGAAAGCTGCCGGCCCCTCCCCAGGGTCCCGCCGCGACCTCCATCCACACCCCTAGCCGTACCCTCCCAGGGGGGATTTAAACCAGAACCCGGAAGCCGGCCCTGCCGGCGCGGCGCACGCCGGGAGTTGTAGTCCCAGCTCCCCAGTAGCCATCCGGCCTTTGGGCGGAGGCCTGGGCGGGGAAACCACGAGTCCCGTGAGCCTCTGCGGCGGGGGGGGCTGGCGTTTGAACCGGYGGCGTTGTTATTGACGCCATATTGCTGGTGCGGGGGTTACGGCCGGGAGCGCCATCGCCGCCGCCATCGCCGCCGCCCGGGCCCCGCCATCGCCATCGCCCCGCATCGGCCGCCCCGCAGCGCACACCTGGGACCGGCACCGCGCCCCTCGGCACTGYTCGCACCCCGCCACCGGCTGCGGGCGGAATTTGTCCCGGCCGGGCAGGGCGGAGCGGGCGGGGAGAGCGGAGATCCAGCCGGAGTGAGCCGGGGCTGCTGCTGCCGCTGCCGGGGCCGCTCCCTAGAGAGAGGCCGGCGGGGAGGCGGCGGAGGCGGCCCTGACGCAGCCGCCCCCTCCTTTCCCTTCCCTCCCCCCCAGCCCGCTCCAGACAGCGGGGAAGACGCCTCTGGGCAGGGCCGGCTGCTGCTTCTTCCACCGCTGCCCCTCGCTCCGAGCCCCCTTGGCCGCTCCGCGCCATGGCTTGCGGCGCCACTTTGAAAAGGACTCTGGATTTCGACCCGCTGCTGAGCCCGGCGTCCCCGAAGCGAAGGCGATGTGCGCCATTGTCAGCCCCGGCCTCAGCCGCCTCCTCCTCCTTCGCCGCCGCTGCCTCCTCCCCGCAGAAATATCTGCGCATGGAGCCCTCGCCCTTCGGAGAGGTKTCGTCCCGGCTCACCACAGGTGAGGGACCCCCAGTGCTCGGCAGCACCCCCTCCCCCCCCCAGGGGCACTTGGGCGGGGAGGGGACCGGGAAGGCGGCCGGGAAGTGGGGAGAAGGAAGAGGGGAGGGTTGGGTGGGTCTGGCGTCCCCCTCCAGCCATTTTCTGCCGGGCTGTGCGGCTGGCAGTGGCCGGGGCGATCCCTGTTCGGCTTGGCACCGAGAGACACAATAGAAATGGCCGTTTGCAGCAGGAGAGGAGGGGGAGGAGGAGGAGGGACGGGGAGGAAGACGGGGGGGGCGGGTTGAGCCGATGCGGGCGGGTGGCCATGGGGAAAGGGGTCGGTGAAGGCGGGGGGAGTGAGACTGAGGAAAGGGACTCGAAGGTTGGAAGGAGGGGTGTGTATGCTGGTGGGGGGAAGCTCGATCTTAGGAAAGGGGGAGGCCGGATTCTCTTTTTTTCCTCCTATTCCACGGGTGCCTGGATGTGGCAAGGAGAGCCGCCGGGGCGAGTCGAGCTGCGCAAACGCTGGGGGCGGCAGGGGACGGGGGTGTGACCGAGGTGGGGCTGGGGTCGGGAGTGGGGGAGTCGGCGGGGCCCCAATCGATCCTCGCAGCCATTATCGGTGGGTCGAGGCAGCGGCACCTCCTCCCGTTGCTCAGACATCGGGGGAGGGCGAGGGGGGCAGGGCGGGGAGGTTGGCTTGTCATCCATCACCCGCAAAACGCCAGTGGGAAAGGGCAAAAGCGGATAAAACAAAGGGGTTATTCCACTTCCCAGCCCCTTAATACGGGCCCTCGTGCCGGATAACCTATTGTGTAGTATCCTTAAAAGTTCCGTAGGAAAACCGAGCGTTAAAGGCGGTTGCGTTAAACTCTCAAGGGTGAGAGTTGCCTTTAGGGCAGATAAAATGGAACCGGGCGGTCTCCTCGTATGGGAGACGCGGGGCAAGAACGAAACCCGAAACCCTTTTATATTCTTAAGGTGCGAGAGATGAGTCAACGGCGGCCCTAAAAGCTCGAGGTCTGCTTGTGTAATGGTTGTCAATTAAAAATCAGCCGAGTTCTTTTTAGTTGCGAGTAGGGAGAGAAGAAAGGAACAAATCTTGGCTGGGCGCAAGGATTGATTGGCCCATGCCCTGCTTAGTCCAGTGGGCAGCTTCCAGCAATGCACTCAGGGCCGGTGCAGCTCGCGGCCATGAGCGGCTGTAGCGCCGAGGTATGGATGCATCCGTGTCCTTTGTGTGCAAGGAAAAAAAACCCCTCTGCAGTTGTTGCAGCAGAATTCCTTCCGCTGTTGTGTTTGGTACTCCCTTTTATAACAAAAGTTGGCTCCAGGTTACCAAGCCCTAAGTTTGCATGTTCAAATTGTCATCTCCACGTAGGACAGTGCCTTGTTTCAATATTCTTAGTTTGGAAAACTGTAYCGTACAATACATCTTTTACAGGTTTTAATCAAATAATAAAAAAATGCATTGGAGGAAATATAGAGGGCACACAGAGTTAAACTTGGCATCAGTGCCTTGATATTTTTTTGAACCTCTAGGAAAGGATCTTGAATGAGTCAGCGGTCTGGGATGAGAGTTGTGATGGATGGCACTCCCTGGTACAGTGAGGCAGTGCATGTAGTTTGAAATAGATATTTAAAATCAGAATTAATTTTATTCTTTTAGAAGAGAAATGTTGCTTCTTTGCAATGATTTCTTTTGGTTTCTTTCTTTGGGATTTGGAGATCTGAGGTTATYAATATTTAATAAAACTATTGTATGGCTAGTAAATATGTTTTGCTGAAAGAACACAAAATTTTCAGCAGACAACCTGCAGCAGTATTTGAGGTAATACTTAAACTGCTGTCCTAACCTTTCTGAAGGTCTTGAAAACTGAAATGTGACTCGAGCAAATGCAGGCCTCTTTATCTCCTGAGAAAATCAGAGGTGCAGGTGGTAATCCATGTGAAAAGGTGATTTCTGTACAGACAAGGATGTATTTTATGTATAAAAAGTTTGTGTAATATAAAGAGTGAAGGACGGTAAATTAAAACATCCCTTACAGCCTTTGAATGCTCCTAAGCAAAACTTGAAGCATTTGTAAGTTGTGCACTTTTACATAGGTTTTGCTTAAAAGCTCCCTCTGTGGTTTCTGTGACAGAAAAAAAAACWCTTTATGCCGTGCTAGTATAACTGAATCTGTTAATCAGTTTGCCTAGCTTTTACTATCAGTTGAATTTGGGGATATTATGACATTGTGTGTGTTTCATTTCGACCCTCACCGAGCAAAATAGAACTTGTAATTTTAAAGGGGCCTGTTGAAAGATCGTGTGTGATTAATCTAATTTTGTAAATGTTCACCTGACCTAATAGTTTGTAGTTTTCCTGGTAGTCACTTGGAAGAATCAGATGGTTTGTTCTAGAGCTCTGACTTAGGTTGAGGCCTAGTGTTCTGCAGAAATATAGATAGCTTTCCATTGACTGTAAAATGAGTTTGCATGATAATTTCTGATGCAGATGTCTGCATTAGGGTCAGATAAATCTTGCTCTTTGTGTGAAAAGAATTCCGGTCTGATCTAAAAATTGTTCCCAACTGAGTCACCGTTTTGTGTTAGTTTTTGTGTTGGGAAATTTATTAACAATAGCCAGAATGCAGTTGACTCGACTTAGCTTTTTCTCAGCCTTTTGCTGTAATGCATAGATTTCCAGCACTTTAAAAGTTTCTGTCTGAATTTTGTGTAATGAAAATTAATGGTCACATGACATCAGAGCTCTGGATATAAAGGATCTGATGCTTAGACTTTATTTTACCTTCATGCTTAAGCATTTTTCTTCTGTCTGATACTCTGACCTGGTRGTGTTTAACTTCACCCATAGTGGAGGCTGTATCAGCACCAGGACTTCTTACCACCTCGTTCATCATTTCAAAAATTGTCTGGAAGCAAAATACAGATTGATTGAGAGGTATGCTGAGAACTGAGAAAACAGTKTGGTWGTCAGATGAGAAAACAGCTGTCTGTATAGAGTGGTCAYGGACAAATAACCAATGTCTGTTTGGGAGAGGATAGGCTTATTTAAGATGAAATTTATCTCTCAAAAGAGTGTTTTAATATTTTGTGGTTATTTGAACAGCTGTTAGGTCACTTCCAGTTTCTCCGTGAATTTGGCTGCCAAACTATAATTGTGGCTTTACAGTCTGTACTTTCTGYGGAATTGTGCTTACTGGCTTGAGCATACTCTGTTAATTTTTGAATAGCATTATTGGCATGTAGAATKATGTTWTTAAAACTCTGTTCACCATAAGCAGTGCARAACATRCCTGCCTGGCATAAAACTGCTTTAGTTTTGAAGGAGTGGATCTTATTTTTTCTACTTTTGAATGCTACAGAGGAGTTTTAGTTTCATGTTTGTTCTGGCTATAAATGAGACTGTTCTGTGTGATCAGAATAACTGCACCTGGGTCTGGATGCTGCCTMTGTGTTATGCATTACACTTGTTGGGTTTCCTCTGAAGTCCAAAGGGTGCTTTTTCTGTTYCAAAGCTGTTAAATAAATTCAAAGGTGAAAGGAGGAAGCAGTGGCAATATTATTTCTCTGTTCTCCTGGATGTTTTGGTACTATTGTTTGCAGTTTTACTCTGGTGACAGGTTGTTTGGGGTGTGGAAAAAAAGGAAAAACTAGACTTAAATCTTTGAAATTCAAAGGCAGGTCAGTTGTTGAAAGCCTGCATGTCTAGATATTTCTGAGATTGAAGCTACAGTGGGAAATACAKTTCAGAGAAATGGGGGGACTGAGGGGAGAAATAAAGTTGATTTTAGGGATTTAGATCTCCTAATTACTGGTACATGGGAATTCAGAAGACAAACTGAGATCAGTGGCTTTTTTCCACAGTCCATCAAAAATCAGAGGTTAACTTGCAAGAACTTTATKCAATCAGAAAGAATGTTGTATTTAAAAACAGTTAATGAAATCACTTAAAAATCCAGACTTTTGCACATGCAGGTTTTCTYCCATCTGAAACCTTCATCTGCCTCTACACTTCCTCAGCAACTAACTAATGTTGCAAACCAAAAACTGTAGTGGGTGGAGCTGTTGAAAACATGCCTTCAACTCAGGTCACTGGTTGAAATCCAAGGAGAGATAATGTCAAAAGTTRGACAGAATGTGGAAAGTGTAGAATTTATGCAGTATTYAGTAATTAGTATGCCTAATTAGTGTATACTGCWCTAAGGGCAGTTACATGGCAAATGTCTATAGTTAAGGATGGCAAATGGAGTTGGTTGTAAGAGTCCCTTTCATAAGGGGCGTTTTATAAACAGAAGATAGATACATTTGCCTTTAATATGTCCTTTTTCTTTCACAGAATAGTGTGGAAAAAGGTTGAGCTGATTGACATAGTTTTTCAAAGTTAATGTATGAAAATTTCTTTGACCTTTTTGAATAGGAAGAACTGTTAGTCTTCCCTATGGGCTGTCCTCCTATGACCTTTGAGTTGCCCTCTTGAGCAAACTGAACTAGTTCTGTCTGAAACTTGGTCAGGCAATGGCCAGTCATAGGTTTAGCTTCCAAATGAACAGATTCAGTGGCTTTGGAATGTGACATATTAGTAGTGCTGCATCTCTTTCTGCCTAATTTCTGTTTTGTTAACATTTATCCACATGTGTATTTATTGCTAAATTATCTTGGTGAGATGCCAAGTTTCTCATTGTGCTCCAGTATTGCAGAAATCATTAGGATTTAAAAAAACAAAACATTCCCACCCCTTAAAAAAGTCACATAATGGTTGCATCTGTACTTTATAATTCAATTTATATGAGAAATTTCTCTATAGATGCCTGTAGTGACTGTTAATGTTAAATACCCTTGGTTGTAGGTGCCATAAGATGTTGAAGYTTTTTTTTGTTTCAGTGGCAAGTCTGATAAATGCAGTGTAACAATTTTTYATGTGAAGGGAAGGCTCTAATTGCTGTGTCTAATACATTTTGCATTGCTTGATTTATTTTTCATTCCTCAATCCCTTGATCAGGAGAACTGGGA